GCCCTCCGCTCCCTGAGGGTTTCCTGTCCTCACCACACAGGGTGATTTCTCCATCCAGCAGCCCATCCTCACCTCCCCTGCTCTAGACACGGGCAACTCAGGATGGCGCTGGGAGCTGGCGAGGTCCGGATCCCACCGATTCCTTCCGCGTCACTGCTGCTAAAACCTCTGGGGTAATTAGCAAACTCTCCTGCCTGCACTGAGCATCTCTGCTCACAGGGCGACTCGTCCTGAGGAGGAGAAGCAGGTGTCCAGCCTGGCTGTCCTCGTTCTGTGTCTGCCCAGCTCTGGGGCCCTGGGCAACGCGTCCTCCTGGCCCCTTCCCAGGGCAGGTCTTCACCGGGCCTGTGGTACGGATGGAAGTAGTTTTGTCTGTTTTCTTCACCCGGGGGAGAATAACCTCTCCATCATTGTGGAATTTACAAATGATCCTGTTGAATACAAAACATTTTCATTCCAGATCTTCTTCCTCCTGATCGCGGTGTCACTGTCTGTAACGAAGTTGCAGTGGTCTCTGTCCTGCTCCACGGTGCTCATGTGGGAATCAAGACTGGGTGTGCTTTGGCTGCGAGAGCAGCTCAGCAAACTTTGTTGATGGGACAAAGCTCAGAGAAACCCCAGACTCCGAGTTCTAGGTCCCCAAGTGGCAAAACTAGAGGTCTGGAGAATCTCATTCCTTTATGGCAAGCGGGAGGCGAGCTTGCTGTGCCCTGGAAGGGGACATTGTCACCCCAAAGGGCTCCGCCCTGAGCCCGTGTCTCGGTAAAGAGGAGTCGTGGCGTCAGACTTTGGGAGCACCTAGCAAGATGAGCAAGAGCACTCACAGAGGACCGTCCTCCCCAACAGACCCTTCTAGGCTTCTTCAGGATGCGGGAAACCGCAGGTTTCTTTCACAGAATTCCTTGGCCAGGGTGAAGGTTCTTTTACTTGTGATGGACACATTCGCATATATTGGCAACATCTGTGTGGTTCCCAGTCAGAAGACAGAGCGTGTGGTAAACAGAGGGACCCAGTACCAGTACCCAGTGATTGCCCAATTCTGATTCCTCTCTGCAGGGTGTGTTTGAGGAAGTTGAAAAGAGGAAGACTGTGACAGTGTACGTAAATAAAGCCGCTGGGGGCGGGGGGCTACAGATCCATTGCACTTTCGCCTTCTCACACAAGCCAAGCTCTTTACTTTTCACAACTCCTCACGTGCCCCAAAGGACAAGGTCTCCAGGAAAGTGGGGTTCTTGTGTAAAATTCTGTGGAATATTTTGAGACAGAGCCTCACTATGTACCCCAGGCTGGCCTTGATCATGGTGACCGTCCTGCCTCGGCCTCCCAAATGCTGCAGTTACAGGCATACACCACCATACCCAGCTGTGATTTGCATAGTGTGTGGTATTTGTACACAGTGGAATTCTTTCAGCAGAGAGAAGGAAGGAATCACAGATGTGCCAGACAGCATGGAGAAACCTTTCAGACCAGAGACTGAGCTCAGGAAGGCAGCCACAATAGAGCACACACTGAAAGACTGAAATTACATCAAAGTAAGAAACACAAAGGCCAGATGTGGTGGCGCACGCCTGTACTCTCAATACTCAGGAGGCCGAGGCTGGAGGACTACCCCAAACTGAAGGCCAGCCTGGACTACATAACAAGACCATGCCTCAAAACAAACAAACAAACAAACAACAACAAAACAAATGATACATAAAGCATCAATTATGATAGAAGTCAATGCATTGGTTACTACGGGCGAGGGGCAGCAGCTGGCAAGGGGAGCTGGTGGACTTTAACTGTTCAGTTCTGGGATGGAACTTAGGCCCCTGTTACTCTACCACTGACTTCTTGATCTTGGTGGAAATGTGCGAGTTTATCAGAATGAACCAACTCTATCTTTAAAATATGAACAGTTTTCTCTACATAGCTCTGCTTCATTGCATGTGTATTTCTTGGCAGCACAGGAGGATATTTCCCTCATATCTGTGCCAATTTGTTTTAGGATTTAGGTGCATGCAGATAAATGATAGGGAAAACGTACTGGGTCGGAACAGTCTCCAGAAGAAATGAGCAGCCTAAGGAGTCACGTAACAAGGAGGAAAGTGACCCACAGCAGACGTGTTTTCCAGAGGGAAGCTCACTGACAAGCTTTCCTGAACGTGCAAGGCAAAAACACTCTCGATGCTTTCCGCCCTGGGAATTCCAGGACAGAATCTGACCCTGCTCGTGGCTACCGGTTCCAAGAAGGCGCTGACCCAGGAAGGGGGTGCTCCAGTGGCTGCAGAGAGCCCAGGAAGAATTGCAGGAGAGGACCAGGGCCGATTCCAACTCACTGGGGACCCTCAGGCCTACAGCCGCTCTCTGAGCATTGCCTCTAGAGGCAAATTAAGGAGGCACCAGGCCGTATTTCTTTCCAGTGGAGAGAGGATGTCGAGCAAAACGCAGTTTCTGTGGTGGGAGGCTGTTCCTGAGCTCACCTGTCACAGGTGAGGTAAATGCCCAGAAAAGCGGATTTTCTCCTCGTCCCAGACCCTCAGCGCTTTCCCTTCCCTGGCCCCGACCCGCACCCCTGAGGTCCGGGTCCCAGAGGTGCTGCCAGCCGGGGACCCTGGACACGGGACCTGCAGTGTACCATGGGCCCCCGAGAAGGGGACCCCACACACTTCTGCTGGAAAGGAGCTGATAGGACTTTACAGCCCCAGGAGGCTCTGGTGCTCAGTACTCGCCTCGCCCCACAGCAGGGCACCGTCCGGCCCTGCCGGGTGAC